AGATGGAGAGGAGGAGGAGGGGGAGGAGGAGGAGGAGGCGTATTTCCCAGTACGTGAAGCAGCATCTACCGCTAAGTGACTGTACACAAGAATCAAGCAAACGAAAGGTGATTCTGGGTGATCCTTTCTGCTATTTCAACTGCCCCACCATAACTTTGAAGAGCGATTTTGGCAGTTCCAGAAGCAGACAAATTAAAATCCGCCTCCATTCTTTCGACTCGCCTTTTTTTCGATATAAGAATTCCACCTAGTGGGAAGGCGGTGGAGAGCATTAGGCGACACAAGAATGCGTACCGAACTGACGAAGGAGAAGGATTTTCATCCAGGTCGTGCATCGTACGCATTTTATAAGCTCCAGCAACTGATAGCAAACAGCTCCACCGAAAATTGCGCCAGCTATTTTGGTCGTCTTTTGCATCTAACTGCACAAATGCCGTCCTTTCTTATCAGTTCCTTTCGTCATTACACTGTTTACGCCTTGCGTTCGCTTCCATCAAGTGTCCTTTAAACTCATTCATGTAAAGGCAGTTTTTTCTATAAAATAGCGACTTCATCTTCTTTAAAAAGAACGAACCACAGTTTCTAGTTATTGAGTAATGAAGTAAAGGATTCCCAAGCCCGACTTATGAAAGGTGTCTATATGGTGATGCGTTTATTTTCCCTACAACCCTTGATGTGTGACTCCTCCCGCGATCATTTCCATCTCCCACTTCACCTTCCAGTCTATTTTGTACAGACAAAAAAGTTGAAGAAATTGTAGTCTTCTGATTTTAAAATAAGGGGGAAGTTGGCGGTGATATACTCGCCGGTAGATATGGTTACGACTACCCAACTATAACCCATCATGTCCCCCAAGTGGCCGTCCACGATTAAGTCCTTTCAAATTTAAGCGAAATCGCTCTTTGAAGAGCAATACAATAGCAAATTGACATTTATTTCCACTCCTCATTCAGATTGAGTCAGGTAATCCACTAAAAGTTAGAAAAAAGGGACCCGGTGATTGGGAGACAACATGAAGAAGGGATTGATAAAATGGTCGAAACGATGTGGGTTTGATTAGGCCACTGGGGATGGTGATGGGTGGGATTGCGTGTACCACACATGATACAACCTTCATGCCATCGACTAGCCTCCGGGGAGGAAACTTGAAAGGTAGGAGAAACTGCGTCACCAGCGGCCTGTCACAAGAGGATGGGGACGGATTACGCGATCTGGAAGATTTAAAAGCATAAGCAGAGCCAGTTTAACCTAAATGGTGCACTTCTCTACAAAATAAATGCATTTATTTTTTTCCGGATTTATTGGAGAAGAAGTAAGCCAACCACAGAGTCCTTCTTTGGCTTAAAATTTACGCCAGTCAATGTGGCAAACCCTGTCAGAGTTGTCCTTCACGCTCTCCAGGGTCAGCCCCCGGTGTCGAGCACCGAAACGCGATGAAAGTTAAAAATAGTTGTGGTGACATTTAATTTTAATGTTAGCGATACGTCTTACCTGTTCCGATGACTTCACCGTCCTGCACTTTTTTATGTGTACTGCATTGCAGGAGATCACTGGCCTTGTACAACTCAGGGTCAGACGATATCCTACCCCTTATATCACTCAGTAGTATTTAACGAAGTACTGTTACAGAGTATGCTTTGCTCCATCTCAATTTCTTCAAGAAGGCAAAATAGGCCCTTTTTCTCGTTGCTAGACAATCACAAGGCAAATAAAAGAGGGGTAGGAATGCAATTACTCGGGTCAAGGCCATTCTCAACTGGAGGCAAAACGTTTTATAAAAGTGGAATTTTACAACAACTTTATCTGAGTAGGAAACAATAAGTGATCAAAACTAATGTTATTAAATGATATTGAGAAGGTTCAACACTTATCACTTGAACACACTTGCCGTCATAAAGCTAGATGAAAATTGTTTAGGTGTAACTAATTCATCTGCCGATAGAAAGCTCCAAAAAGTGAGGATGCCCTCATATTGAGAACTTTCAGGTTCTGATTTGATCACTCGGTTTGTGGTGCACAATTCAGTGCAAATGGTAATCATGAAATCTAATTGAGAACCTGTGTCACATATATGTGACACCCAGTCGAAGTGAAAAATCGGGGTGTCACATAAATGTGACACTGGAAGTGGAAATGCATATACTGCATTTTTAGAAAATTCCATCCAATGTAAATATCACCAAAAGACTGCAAACATGCCCGTGGACTCACTGAGGCTTCAGGGCCGTCATAGGCCACTTCAAGATAAGTCGCAGAAGTCCCTCCCACACAAGTACAAATGTGTCTGCAGTTGCTGTGAAAGGCTTATTGTAAATATATATCTTCTTGTTCTAAATACTATTCCAAACTGATAGGGAAACCAACCTGACATATCATCAAAGCGAAATCTGCAAGCCAACACCTTTCGAGTTTGAGAGACCCTCCGGTTCAGTTTCCATACCTGAGATCACTTTAATCCTTTTTTGGTCTTTTTAGAGAAAAAACAACAAATAATTGATTATTATTTCTAGAGTGTGATTACCAAATTATTTGAGAGTAGCGGCATTATCATGCACAACTTCATTAAAGTTGCTCCAAACCACGGTTGAGAGGTGTAAAAAGGCGGCACTTTTTTCCCTTATCTTTAGGTTAAACTGGGAGAAATAAATAAACGCATAGTAATTGACCTTTAAATCTAAGTTAGATTCTCAACCGAATGTCTTGCAGTAAAACTTTGTTTCAATCAAGCATGAAGCACTCCAGAGAACACCTTCTTGTCAAGGTATCCATTCATGTAACTTCCGCAGCTCCTCTAGTTCTTCCACAGGTTAATGAATACACCTTTCCTATTAATGCGCCTTATGACGAAGTCTAGATACGAACCGTCTCAAAGGTTGGGGAAGGGAGGCGTCTACTTTGGGCGAGTAAGTTTGCGAGGCCTCAGCATAAAGGAGCCATCGAAACCGCTTTGGCCTAGGACAGGCACTCCGATTTTGAGGTAATCGAGGAAACGGGTTTCACTGGGTCGAGACCGTTTCGAGATGCATTTTTACCAAAGCCATGACCACAGCGATTTATGTTATGATCTAAGGTCATGATGCTTCCTTTTCTCGGTTTTGCTACTGGCGGATGACCTCGGGGATGTCGTTAAGTTCCATTGCCGCTAGCCTTGCAGAGAACGCGATATTCAGAAATCTCAATTAAAGCTATAACACATACCTCTACCGATAAAAGAGGCAAAAAACTGCCTCCAGTCCTTCCGCGTAGTCATCTAAAATTTACAGGAGGACCTGTCTCCATGGCGAACACCAGGAACGGCACTTAAAGAAGAGGGAACAGGGTAGAGAAGAATTGAAACTCCTAGCATCTCCAGCACCTCCACTTGGGTGCTATGACGAGCTACTTATCCATCGATGGTATACCAAAACAAAGCCTTCGGCTACAACAATGCGCCTTACTACGTCTTCAGGGATGCCACAATTTAAACCAGTCCTTTCCCACTTCACCTGAAGTTTCTTTGTCCTTCGTCTGAAACACCGTTGACATGCTTCTCCAACCAACCAGGCATCTGAAAAGGTAGCTGCCAAGGCGATCTTTGAAAAAGGGAGAAGGCAAGCTATAGTAAAAGCATCTATTTCATCCTTCCGACATCGGGAACGTGAGTCAAAAAAAGGAACAGCCAGCAAAAGAAGTTAGAAGCGTTACAGTACGGCACATCTCACAATACAATACTTTCAGCATCGGGGATGTCGATGAATGGGTACTCGGTGAATGGAAAGATGGATGGAGATGATACAGATTTCTCTTCGTGCATCTCGACGCTAAAATGCAAGAGGATCTGAGGATTTCCTTCTAGTGCTTTCCTGGAAGATATACCTTCATGACTGCGTCATAGCAATGGTAGTTGTAATTTTGTTATGGCTTTTGGTACCGGTGCCATCTTCACCACCATTACTGTTCCTGTTGCCGTTGCTCTCCTGTACGAAAATAGTGGATTCATCGTCGTCAACAATGTCCTCGGTGTCTTCATCGTAGACTTGGGAGGCGCCTTGCATCGGTGATTGATACAGCTCTGTCTCTGAGCTCGTCTGAGTTGGAGGTTGAGCTGTGCTGGTAGCAGTAGTGGCTGTAAGTGACGAGTCTCCTTCCAGGAGAAGGTTTCCACGAAGGGCACGAACCAACTGTTCAGTTGTATTCTGTAGGTAGGAAAGAATGACAGCAGAATGACAGCGGATTCAGAAGTCCCCTCTACCTCTGCCTCACATGTGGTTTTGATATACTACTCCATTTCGACGACGACAGCATGATCTGGAGAATCGTTTGAGCCTTCCGAGTCTCCCGTGATTTACCCTCCTGTCCCTTCTGCAGACTCTTAAAAAAGCTACTCTAAGATGGACATGCTTTACAACTTCTGTAGAAGTAACTTGAGAGCTGCATCTGAGTAGGGGGAAGCAGATAAATGGATGTTATCATGCTGAATAATTCGCAATTGATTCTTCATGTGCCACAACCTTCAGTGCCTACCTTCTGCTGCACCATTATGCCTCGGTCTGCCGTCGCGGAAGCGGCAGCAGCAACAGCCGCCGCAGCAGCAGCAGCAGCGCTGAAATTGTCCACAGAGGCACCAAATTTCTGCAAGTTCGGTTCCGACGCTCGACGACTTAGTGAGTCGGAACGACTTCGAAGGAGTGATGCTGTGAGGTTTGGCATTTGTGAGGAGTAGCCCTCACCACATGTGGCGGTGGGGATGGTAGTGGTCGAGGGGGGTGGGATAAGGGAGGAGGGAAAAATATCATTCTCATGAAGGTGGTAGTAATTCTGAAACTGGGAGTAGAACTGTGTCGCGGTCGTGGGAGTCGATGTGGAAGTGGAGGAAGGCTCAGAAGACCGATTCATGAGAGAATTGCCGGCCAGGAGGAGACTGGAGGCAAGAATGCTGTCATCGCGGGTGAATAGTCCTGTGCCGGAGTTTTTAAATAGGGACAGTCCGCCAGCCATTGGGCTAAAGGAAGGAGAGGAAGGAAGAATGTACTCAGCAGTTATTGCGGTGCACACTTTGGAAGGTGGACTTGATCTGCATCTACCGATTCATGAATCTGGGCAAATCTGTTTGCAGCATTTATTATTTGTGTTGATCCACTTAAATTTACCACTTGGCAAAGGACTCCATTCAAACAAAGTCCACAGACCTACTGATAAGGCTTTACACGCCTCACCATCCCAATCACGGTTGCTTTCATTTGCAGTTGGCGTGCAACTTCTTGGGTAAGGTCAGAAGTAAGGATACCTTATGCGCCTTCAGCCATCGACCTACTTCAGCACTCGGGCGCACGGTAACTTATGGCATGTCAGTGGCTTTGTTTCATTCCTCCGAATGCTATAACATCAAGGTTCGGACGTTATCTTCACCCCTCTGAATGCGGCCCCTCAATAATTTAAGACCCGCGCCCTGCTAATGAAGCAGGCTAACCAAGACACCTACTGATCACAGTGATTACAACATTCCCAGAACCACTTCAAGGACCATTGACAATAGACCTTTAAAAAGGGGAATTCAATTTCTGGTCCCTTTAGATAGAGGGGAATGGGAAGAACTGCCTAAAGAAGTTTGCTTTAGATAAGAGTGATTCAGTTTTCACTTCCTGTCTTCAATTCTGTCGGTATCACCGGTCCCTGACTACCCATACAAATTGACCAGCAGTTCTGATGATGTCGGAAGTTCCACTTTTACGTTACGACCTCAGTCAGAGGGAATTGATGAGACGCAATTCGCAAAGAGCCACTCTGTCCTCACAGTGACCTCATTGCTTCGCTTTGGACTTGGCGTTTCCTTTTTCTCCGGAAAAACTCAAACATCACCTATTTTCTGCACTTACATTAAATGAAGCTCTTCGAAAGATATTTTCACGTTCTCCCAACTATCGACAGGGGCATGAATAAGCATTGCTGAGATGGTGTTGACTCCACAAGTGTTGATTACGCCTTTTCAGCATATACCAACGTTCCCTGCGTGTGGCTGTGGCTTACAGCCAATGGCTTTACTGCCGCCACGTCAAAGCAAAAACCACGACGACAGCCACAATCTGGGTGGGCAGTGCTGTCTGGTGTATCGTCTGCTTTGAGTCGTGGCTTAAACCTAGCCGTCCGGGGTGAGCGAGAACTGATTCTCACCTCACAAGTGAGCCGCCAAGTTATTTTCGTGGAGAGCGATGGAGTGGCTGCGTTAAGGGAGTACAAGTATTGTATGAGGAAGTTTGCATTTCTTTTGTGTCTTTTTTTGAGGGAAAAAATCAGCCATCGACAAAAAATGGACTTCCGAGGAATTGGACGAAATTTGCTTCCACTACTTCCTTCTTTTATTAGCATTAAAAAAGCCCTCATTTTTCGCGGATATCTACCTCAGAGCAGAAGTAATTTTCGTAAAACTCAGGTTATAAATATGTTTGTAAATAGGAAAAAAAGTGAGGAGCATATGCACATTTAGCTACAAACTACAGGGTGGAATTTGAACTTTTCCATCCTCTGGTCTAACACCTGAAAAATAGGCTGGGCCGTGATTGTGGGTTAACTTATTTTTGCCCTTTGGTATTTAAACATTTACCAAAGTTCGCCCCGTAATAAATCCATACACAGTTGATTGCGTCACCCCCACTCATCCAATGGTCTACCACCTTCACCTGTGCTCTTTGTGCACGGCGACGCCCTTCTCTCGGTATGATCAAAACAGTCGAACTTTTGGCAGTTTTCTGTGCGTGCATGCGTGCATCGGCCCAAATCTAGGAGAAGCCTTTGGGATGACAGTGGTAGTAACAGCAGCAGTACACCGTTGTTTTTGTTTTTGCAGTTGGACTTGTTTGTGTGTGTGTGTGTTGGTGCGCGCCCGTCTACACACTGACGGTGTGCTGGTGCGGGCGAGAGCTGAGTAATCACTGGAGTCTTGTGCCTCCCTTGAACAAGGGCACTTTCCGCAATCAAGGCCAAGTCAAATACACATGCACACGCAGCGAGTTGAAGTAAAGCGTGGAATGGAATTCCTTTCCAAAATAAAGCCTCCTCCGAGGCATGTTTTCTTCACACCCGGGAGTCTCTAACCGAAATTAGTTTTGGGGGGAGCAAAAATATGTTTCTGCGGGATTGCTTGTTCCGTTCTTTTGTTGGAAAGATTTAAATCACCGTGAATAGAGAACCAGTGAAGGTCGGTAACCACAACAGAAAAAAATGTCATATTTAAACGTTGGCGGGGGTTAGAGGCTTCCAGCGGTCTCCCTGGAACTGCATTTTGGTGAATTCCTACTTTATAAAATTCACAAATATTTAACGGATTGTACCACCATATCTTCAATCCACAGAAGCAGAAGGCATATCCAACAGTAAAAAAAGACCATTTCAGCGTTATTGATTGCCACGGCAACTAACCAAATTCCATCCTTGAAAAGTTTGAGTTCCTTTCGCGGAAGGAAAAAAGAACACTCCGCTTTTCTGTCTACCTAGAGGAAGGATTTGAGGTGAGGTGGATGCGGAATAAAACCAAGTGTAGTGAACACGCCTAAATTAGAATTTATGCCTTTGAGATCCTATCAACTTGAAATCTGGTCGTACCGTCGTACCCCAATCATTCAGCACCCGAGTGAAGTGAGTTAGAGGGAGGTTGTCACTCACTTAAACGAGCAAAACCTGTCGTCGAGGCCGTGACGCTCTTCATGACACGGAGATTGGCAAACGGTAGCGCTTCTTCAAGTCGCTCCATTGCCTCAAGCCACGGCAATCCGCCAGTGTTATTTGCAACGAGGACAGGTGGACAGCAGAAGGCTTCTTCTCCTTCTCTTCCTCAATCTTCACTGCACTTAGGTCAGGTTGTCATGTCATGTCAGAAGGAAGAGACAGATAACGACCTGGTGATTGTGAACCTCAATGTAGAGTTGACGTGGCCTGGGTGTTGAACGCCTGGGGCAAAGTAAAGTCCCCACAGAAAGGAATCATCACGCTTTCCTTTCCCACTCACTACTCAGCTATGGCTCAGCCTTCCATTGCCTTGACATAGCTTGCTTGGACCACTTTGTCAAGGGATGCACGCGACAGTACTCAAGTTGTCATGCGTAGGCGTGGAATAGCAAAACAACTCTCCCCACCCTGCTCGAGCTGTCAACGTTAGATTGAGTTTACAATGACGTTGAAGCCAATGGGAGCAACAGTGAAAACACAAATGTGGCGGTTAGGTGGATGCCTCGAGGGAGCGCCACATCAACACCGCTCTGTCAAGTTAGATTCACTTAAATTCGCCAAACCGGTTCCCCAGTTTTCGCATCCAGCTACTGACTGATGAACAAACTGGCCACTTCATCACACTTGCCAGGAACTCCGCGAGGCCATCTTTCAAACTGTGGCTATTTTACTTCCCAAAACACCTTTCCATTCCTCACCAAAAGGTGATTGGGTGTTATCCCGAAGCGTATGACTTGTAAAAGGGCAGTGCAACACCGAAAAATGCCCGTGTAATCATTCTATATCATCGACACTAGGAGAGATTAATTATTCATTCCTGTCTGCCCGTCTGCATGCATAAGCGGAGGCGATTGATGTTGTTGTTGTTGCTGTCGCCGTTGTTGCTGTTACTACTATCAACGGCTGCGTTGCTGATTTACGTCACAGCTTGGAACTTTCTAGTCTCTTCGTCTTCTTCTTTACCATCTCCTTCCTCGTTTTGCCATACACAAACACAAAAACCGAGACAAAATGAGACACTGCAGGGCGTATGGCGGCTGATCAAAACACTTCTAGTCACTTCACACAGTGACAAATGCGACTTTCCAGTCGATTGTGTGCATTCGAGAAACAACTTTTAGTTGATGAAAATATGAATAGAAGAGAAGACGCATCACAGGTGGTGGCAACGATACCTTGTTTTTTTTAACACCGCTCATACCTCTAGAAGGAGGCATTTTCGCAGTCCATGAAGATGATTTCTCCTTTTTTGAGTCGTAAAAGAGGTAGATCTCCTCCTGGTTCCCTAGCTGACCTTAAAAATGCCCCTTGGTAGCGGTCCGGGGCACCAAGACCGGCTAATTGCCTTTTTGGAGATAAATGCTACGGATTGTCTGACGAGGTGAGAATGTGACTACCCGCCTACCTCCTTTGTTCAGAATCAACTTCACCCAAGGAGAATAGCCTCTCTGATAATGCCTCACGTGGAGTGATGGATAAAGGTCCCCCTGATTACTCCAAGAAGGTGGCGCCTCCCCGCGCAAACCATCTGTTTTTCTGAGGTAAAAGGTGAGACCAAAGGCACTCCCTTTTTTTCATCTACTTAACTGCATCATTCACTGCCTTGAGTTCGTGATTTTCCATGTATCTATGTGCAGGCACCGCTTCAAAACAATGTGAGAAAGGAGGCATGACACGGTGTCGTTTTTTGAGTAAGTGGCAAGGGTTACAAAACCAACCGAGACCGATCCTTTAGATCTCAAAAGGGGAAGTTTACTCAATGAAATGGTGGGGACTTCATTTTTTTACGCGCTCTCGACGACCAAAATAGAGGCCGAGACAAGGGAGAGGTCATTGAAACCACCCCTTTTGCAACGTCCTAGATTCTAAATTTGCCTACTTCACATCTTTGGAGTTGGACAGATTGGCAACTTTTCAAGAAGAAGCCCTAAAACTCCTCATTGGTCGGATCAAAAATGACCGCGCAAACTAACTGCGACTGAATTAGGAAGAATTTCTCACCAGCCAAGTGGAACCGTGTGAGCATGTCTGAAAAAAGAGGGAATGTAAAATTACTTTTTTCCTCCCCCGTCCCCCCACAAGTGGGGTGTCGCGGAATACCCATTTGTTCTTTTCCATGCACTTCATCCACTTGTATCGAATGATCTCGAAGTACCTATTTGCTTTCTTTTAAGAAAGAAGGCATCTAAGCGTAAAAATTCTGCAAAAAAAGTGAAATTTTCTGCAGCCTCTACGACAGGAGCATTCACAGATTGGAGGGAGAATGATCGGGGTGGAAAATTTACAATTGTTCATTAAACCGAATCTGTCAAAACGAATAATTCTTCTAGTGCCTTTGACCATTTCTCTTCACTGCTCAGCTTTGTAATAGTCAGATTCCCTCATTTCCACAAATAATGAATTTTGTGAGTAGATTGTGGAAGTTTGTCAGCATTACTGCATTTTTGGATGTATGTTATGCATTTGTATGAGTGTATCCTTTTGGATGAGAAGCGGTCAGTATACGTCAACCTCAGGGCTGATCGCATGCCACTGACCCCCGAAGGGGGGGGGCACGAACTCCAACCTCGATCCCCTGCACACGCTTTAAAATATTTATCAAATAAAAGATAGCCTCCTCCAACCAGTCCGCTCATTCCAGGCGCAGAAAAGCAGAGGTGAGAGACACGTCGTACCCGCTACAGGTAATCACTTAGAGTGGGAAACAATCAGGCTGTCAGCCGATCAAAAAAGTTAGCGCGGTGTTCGGTGGGGACTACCTGCAATCACTTCTTGCAAAATGTACGCGATTCTTTAAATGCATGATGTGGGATGCGTCCACCGTCTACAAGTCTGATTCCTCATTTCATGAAGCGGTCGGTCCAACCGAGTGGAGGTGATTCCAGCCTGCCTGCTCTTCGAAACGAGGTCAACTCCGTCGCAAAAATGCAGACATTGGGAGAAGATGTGATGCGCGATAGTTGAAGATATTACCTCAAATCAGTTTGCAATGATGGATGGATGGATGCTGTATTACGTTCAGGAGGACACTCCTTGCCGATTGCGCAAGTAGAAGTGATGACAAATGTGTCCAGAAAATTTCCGAGGATGGTGTCTAACGCAGTAGCACTTGACTCCTCTTCCCTTCCCACGTACAGTTATGCATTTGTTGGCTGACAAAATGACTGACACATGACAAAAAGTGGCTTTTGCAGCTTACTCCAAGCTTCGTTAAGTAAATAAGCCCACCCTCCATAGGATCCACTCACTTCAGGGGATATCTCCTTCACTCTCTCACTCCCTCTGTTCGATACAACTTGACGATAAACAGCTGAACACAGTCAGGACTGGTGATTCAGCAGGCAGGAAGCTCCCCTCCTCTAGCATGACGATGTCTCATCCTTTACCCTTTGTGAATCCCCGATGGTGTTTCTTTAAGTTTAAGGTGATTAGCACCTTTTCTTGTCGGTAGCACACAAACACATGACCACATAGGTAAAAATAGAAGTGACAAAGAAGCTGACGTGGCCAAGGCTAGATTATTGCCTACTTCCGGAGGCAAAACACTTAAAAAAGGTGGAATTTACAACAAGCTTGTACTTTGTTGAGACAGAATGTTAGACTACACTTGTGGCTACTTCAATGCGGAAGCTCCCGCAGGGGGAAAACGTCCTTACAATGTAAACACGACTTGGTGCTGCTGTTTTGATGGCGGATTACAATTTCATTTTTGAATAGAAAAATGCGTGAATTTCTATTTCTCCTCTTTTTTGCAGACAAAAAAATCTGGCGGCATAAATACGCTATTGATTTAAACAAAATCTCTAGTGGCAATAGTAGTAATGGTCCAAGAAAAGTGCAGTCGTATCGGACCCTCAGGAATGAGGCGTCTGACAAAATGTGACAGCTATCTTCTTAATTTTACTGTTGCTTAGTGTGAGATGGATGGATTCCATGTCTATCCTCGAAGCAATCAATTAAACATCAAAAGAAGAGCTTCCGTCGTGTGGGTTCGACACACTATTCGGGTAATGCTCAGCTCCAAAGAGTAGTCGATGAAAGATAACGATAATTAGGCAAAACTTTGACGCGGAAGGCTCGCGATTGAACAAGGTTTTGATCAGTCACACACTCTTGGCACAAGGATCGGAACGGTAAGCCCCTCCTTCCCAATCCCTCAAAGCCAACTTACTCCTTCGAAAGAAAATTCGTTTCACTCGTGGACTCGGTATTGAAATTTGAAGCTGCAGATGTTGAGAGAGAGTCATGAAGGTTGAAGAGACGCGAATGGTACCCAAGGGAAGAGGAGGAGGAGGAGGTATTTCTATCCACTTGGAGGGTTGAAGAGGCCTCTATGACAGTAGACGATATGTTGGGAGTTGTGGTGGTGGTGACAGTGGTTCCAGCAGCAGCAGCAGCGGCGGTAGCAGTGGGTCCAGAATTACGTTGTGGCGAGGCACCACTAGCTACGTAGGCTGGAACGACGTAGGAACGTTGTCGTCGTTTCTGGAAGGCCTTTACTACAAGGTGTGCCTCAGAGTCGGGATCCAATCGCCAAAATGCCCCCTTGCCTGGCTCCTCTTGCCCCCGAGGGATGCGGATGAAGTAGCGGTTCAGCGAGAGGTTGTGACGAATCGAATTCTGAGGGGAGAAAAACCGATAATTCCCCATTCTAATGTATCGATCTTACATATTAAAACCGTGACAAAATCAATATTTTGGAACATTGAATTCAAAAGGTTTCTTAACTATTAATACAGCAAATTAAAAATGCTTTGAATGTCTTGGATTGCAGTTTAGGGCACATGACGTGGCTTAAGTAACCTCTGGAAGTGGATTATCGTTGGAAAGATGATCCGCCACAAAGAGATTAAGGAATACTCAGAATAGGGGATCTTTGGGGTCTCTGGAGCCGGTAACTTCTGTACTTTTCATCATTGAAGACGCTCTATTCGCCGATATTTACTGAGTATACTAGTTTACAATACAACACATGGGTAAGTGAAACAGACTTAAAGCTGGAAATGGTGGAGAATGGTTGTTTACACAGGGAACCAAACAATGTCACCCGCCTTATGTACCCGTGGGTGATAAACAAACATCAAAAACCCTCGAGTTCATCCCATATAGAAGGTGTACTTTCTTAAACATCTGTTCGTGAATGTAAACAAAGTAATCTACCCTCCCTTCCTTCACAAAATGGCCTTCACGTCTCGTTTCGAGGGCTGGCGGGTTGTTGCGCACTTCCGACAGTCGGAATGACTCACGACCTGGGGGCGGTGAAGACAAAGAGCTGCAGAGCCAACATGGATCAGTCAAATTGGCTTCCATTGTGGTTGAAGGAATGAATCAGCGTTAAGTTCATCCACTTCAAGCGCATTATTAGTAGTGAGAACTGTTAACGTGGTGCAGGGATTAATCAGATATTCAACTATTCTTCCAAATAGTTTAGAGGATAAAAAACGTCTTTGCAGGGACGCTGTTTGGTATGCATGAGGAAAGTCGGTCGTCTTAGAGAATGTCTGGAAGGTGCATCCGGTCAAATTGCAATGCTGAGGTCTTGGAGAGATGATATTAATTTCCTTGTCTAACTAGACATAAAAAGGCGCTTCTAGTATCATTGAAGATGGTGGCGTTGACCGGGTCTAGGTCAACCAAACTGAATCGGCAGCATTGGAAGTTTCTGTGAGGAAATCGGTTCTGAAGGTAAAGATGGGTACGGTGCTTGCTCCAGTACAACTAAATCAAAAGGCATTGGAAACTTCATTTCGCCTTTGAGGTGAGCCTTTCCTTGAACCACCTTCAGGAACTTCGCTATCAGTGTGATCGCAGGGTGTTGAGGTAGTTGTGCTGTTAGAGCTCTAGGTGTTGGTACACGGCTAAATCCTCCCCTTTCTAAAGAAGATAATTGCTATCACTCTCTCAAACCGTAAAATGATGACCGAAGGGTCCTAAACAGAACCTAAACCTCGAAATGAGGTCATTCATCGGGAAAATGGAGCAAAGACGCCGAGCTTAGCACACCAGAGGGGATGGATGAAGGAGAGGGGGCGTAAATCACTCCCATCGCCGACGTTAGAGGGGATGGTGAGTGCGAGAGGAAGGATGCCCTGAAAACCACTCGACGGAGTGATCAATTGAGGTGTAACCCCCCCTGACAAGCAAGTGTTCCAAAAAGCGGAGGTGGAATGAAGGAATGAATGAATCAGGCGGGTGCTGAGGTGCACGCTCCATCCAAACAACTGTTTCAGGCATGATATCCATCCCCACGGCGGTACTTTCTATCGTATTCTCTGCTACTTCCCATCCATTTCGGAAGTGATTCTACTGTGTCTACCCTGCGAAAAGTGTTTAACACGGTTCCAAGGCTGGAGAAGTTGTGGTAGCACAACGAGGCACCAGAAGAGCGTGCCACTCAGAAATGAATTCAGGTGAGGTATTAACCAAAGATAGAGTTACATCATCTGGGAAGGCCGTCATGATGACTACAGAACAAGTGATTCCCGGATGACGTGCATTGACAGACTGCCAATTCATTCTTCACTTCTTCCATGTACCCTTCAAAAAGTGCCTCTATTTTCTCACTTCTTGATGAGATGAGCCAATATTCCGTCATTCATCCCCCCACCACTTCATCATCAGAGCATCCTACTTCCTTCGTGTCTGGTGCAAACTACGCCTGACATCTGCCTATCTACTCAATACAGCTGAAAGGTGCGCAAGGAGAACTTCTTCCTATGGCACATTCCAAGGAGAGCTAGAATTAGTGAATCGGTGAGGGGAAAGTCGCCCTTTCATTCTTACCAGCTAACACACAATGCGGGAGAGAGGAAGATACCATTCTTATGTCGATACGTCTTCAACCTACAAGCGATGACAAACGCCTTTTCTTGGTCTTAGTAGTAGATGGGTGGATGGATGGATGGGTGAGGGAGTAGACGGATAGACGGCTAAGTAGATAGAACGGTCCCACTTTTGCCATATTGGGAAGTCTTCCCTCAGTAATGGCACATCGTTACACTCTCTTGCCTTTTCCCTCTTATCCAAATACAGAAGGCCCACACGAAAGAGTAATTACAAGAAGTGTCGACAATTACCCTCCCAATATGACGGGAGACTGTGAAAACAAAAAATACTCGTTTTGTCTATGACGGCGTATTCAACCATCTGGGGTGGAGCTCTGCTGCAGGTCTGCCATCCCCTCTGCAGGTTTATAATAAAACTACTTCCAGACGCTTTCAGAACCGGTAGTACCTCCTTCGAGTGCCACAACTCTACCTTAAAGCTGAATAACTTAAATGCTGCAGTAAGCACTAGGGAACCAACCTGCCAGCCCTTCTGACTCGGTTTGTAATAGGGGAACTGGGTGGAAATGTAGCTGTAGATGTCCGCTAGGGTCAATCTTCGATTAGGCGCCGAGACAATGGCTTGGACAATTAGTTGTGCGTAGGAGTAGGGTGGCTTCTCGTACACTGTGCCATGTTCCACCGTCTCTGTGGAACCCTCCAAATTGGAAGCCACTTCTTCGCTTGCCGTTGTTGAGAGGAAGGGCGATCCAGTACCACCAGGTGAATGGGACAAGCACCGGTCGGGGAATATTGATCGATCCGAAGGTCCTGAATGGGCGTTCGAGCTGTCTGTTCCGTTGGATGTCTGACTGCAGGTGGTTGAAACCTTCAGGGGACTTCTTGAGTAGGCTGCAAGGTGGGATAACATTTCTTGTGAGTTTGTTGGAAATCCGAATTGGACAATCATTGTGCGAGCTAATGTAACCACGCGAGCCTTTCCAGGTTCTCTTCAGGTCTATGACCTCCTGGCTCTTCCGTACGTACCTTATTATCCCATTAAGGATGGTATAGGATGTAACATCTGTAACAGAAGTTGGAGACCCATTTACAAAGAAGAGAAATTTGCCTAGACCCAGCAGAGAAGTCTGTGCTTCGGAACGGCGTCAATTTCTGACTTCACTAAAGGGGCGAAATCCGCACTGACCCTAAAGCAAAACTAACTATCCTTGAACTCAAATATCGACAGCCTAGTCTGAGGGTATTATCTACCCCTCTTTCTACCAAAAAAGCGATTGATCCATGGAAAGTGTGAATGTATACGCCATAGAAATCCATCCAGACGAGTTCTTCTTCGGTGCAATGCGCCATTCAGGAATTATGACCCAAAGTCCCCAGATGCGTAGCATCAAGCCACTGTGCCATCTTCATTCCAGTCTTCTCAGGTATTGGGCGGTGACTTTAGAAAGCATCTGAAAGTTGAAGGTGAAAATGTAAATGACAAACGTTGCCATCCTGACGCCATGCCGATCCAATTCATGGCCGTAGTCATTTAACCCTTCTATACACCTGTAATAGTCATTATTCCACAGGATGCCTGACTAGTGGTACTATGGTTTTTGTTCTAAGCACTCAATTTAGAACCTTATCTAAAAAGTCCGATTTAAAGAAAGCTACAAAAGCAAGTCCCATTGAAAGAAAATGGAAATAACGTTGGTAACGAATCATATGACCCAAGCCGGCATATGACAGGCATTTTTGATGTCGCCTATTCAGCTAATGCAAACAATGGCAGGGACGGAGTCCAAAAAGTGGGAACAAAGGGGGTCTGTACGCCAGTTGACATCCGCATTTCGGTAGCCACGGTAACAGCAATAACAACAACACCAACAACAAAAACGACAACAGCGCGACGATAGCAACAGTCAGCAACTAGCTAGCCAAACAACCTGACCAATCATCCGCGTGTACTTTTACAAGTGTTTGCACTTCTCATACACCCGTTTGTCAAAAAAACCCGCAATCACTCACTCACCCACACACCCACTCAGGCGAGGGTGTGGGATGACACAATCACAGGGGCGATCAGTGTTACAAGAATGCGGGATCAAAAGGCAAATTTATCTGGGGCGGTGTTTTCCTTTGCTAAAACCGGCGGGTGGCGTACTGCGATGCACTTCTTGCGTCATTGGCAGACGCGAGCGCGCCCACGCACGCGTGCAAGCCTGTTCTTTTATTGGAGGCAATGACGTCACTACAACAACGCGCACGAGGACGGCCTTGGGCAATGACCAATGGGATCACGGAGACGAAAAATGCGCTGTTTTGTCGTCGGGTTGGAGAATGTAAACAACATGGCATGTGCGAGCACGTACTTGTGAGCGTGCGTACCTATACCTCACCGCGCTAGCACAGTCGACACAACGCTGGGGGGTAAATAACAGAAAAGTGGGATGAAGGCAAGAGGCATGCTACTGACCCGCGAGGAGATTAGGGAAACGAAGAGAGGTCGGCTGGTCAGCAGTCGTGGTGGTAGTGACGGTGACAGCATCTAGGCGTCGGGATTTGATTTGATTCGAGTTTAGAAGAAGGGAGTCGGGTGGGGAACAGGGCTCCGGTGTAGAAAATGGTTCGGTGGAGTCTGATTTGCACCGACAGGAGGCTACTGCGTTGGCGATGGAGTCGGTGATTAAGGTGTTGAAGGACTGGACATTCTGTTTCCTACCGAGATGGGTTGGATTTTCGTCTTCCTTTATTGAAGGCGTCAATTTTTGCCGTCTGGAAATTAATGACAAACACATAGACTGAATTTCTACAGTTTAGGCTTTGCTTAGTTCACAAAAATTCACAGATTTTCAGCTTTTTCTGCAAGAAACACCATCGTAAGCAAATTACCAACCTGCTATCAATTTTTACTATTGATTTTTATCACGGAGTAGGTGGAACCCTCAGGTGAGCCACATTATTGATTTTTTAACTACCAATAATTTTTAAATCACCTTTAAAATGCCAAATCTGAACTAAAATTCTCGCTGTTTTTTCTTTTACACCCACTCAAGTGAGTGTTCATTAGGGCGTACAAACGAGGGCGGTCTTTTTCAGCTTCAAAACGAGCAGCGTCTATGACATGCTATTGTCAGACAGTCTTTTCGTCTGCTTACTTAAACAAGAGACGAAACATTGTGTGACAGGTATGGAGGTCTAATATTTGCTCTCACGTCAAACATGTGAATAGAGTGGAAGAAATCGTGCATCCATGTACCGCTTTGACGTCTCCGAAAGAAAAGAATTTTCCGACCCATTTTGTGTAAGAAATACCTGATATTACTATTTCAAATGGTTTTTTCAACAGGATTATTGCTGTCTGGATACTTTTTGGATGGAGAATGGATTAGTTATCACCGACAGACCTATTCCACTTGGCGGTGCTAAATTGAGGCTCCACTCCTTTGTGATAATGTGCAACTAGATGGGAGGTGGTGGAAAAGTACACAGGCCTACAAAAACACTGATGTTGCGCAAGTTGTTGTGCGTGTGTGTGTGTACGATTTTTTTTTCGTTATTTGTGGCGCCACTAAAGTTGATCCCAATTTGCGGTCCTTAGTTGAAATAGCGCAGCTGTTATAACCGATTTTTTTGAACCAACCGCGTGAACTCGACCAACCACAAAGGAGGACAAAAGTACAAATAAAATGGTTTCACAGCCTTTGAAGTGGAGGATTTGTTGAAGAGATCTACACATTAATGAACCAGTCAGGTCTAGCGAATCAAAGACACAGTTATAATAATCTGCATTTATTTGAACCAACCATGAGAACTCGACCAATCACAGACGCGGATAAAAGTACAAATTCAATGGTTCCAGAACTTTTGAAGTGAAGGATGCGTTGAAAAGATCGACACAGAACTGAACTATCAGGTCCAGAGACAAAACAACGGAGTTGTGATGATGCTCCAAGGCGCCTAAGATGGGGAATTAATAGAAAGCCCCCACAGAAAGACACCCAGTGGACGCAGGTGTCAAAACACCAGCGTCGTGACAACCATTTTTCCTTGCGTTCATACGGCTTGAACACAATTCCATTAATTATACATGATTTGGGGTTTGTGGGTAGTTGGAAAGCTTCCAAAAAGTAACCAGTACGGCCCGAAATTCGGTAAAAACGTGCCACTCCTTTGTGAGTTTCCAGTGTCTCTAAAGTGGACCAAAATGTAGTTCGCCGGCCAGTACACATCCGCGCACACACAGCTACACACACAGAGAGAGGAACGCGGACACGTCAATCAACTCAACCCGCAAGCAAGTAGGCGAGTCCACTTTTATCCCAGCGGGTCGCTCAGGCATCCACGTTACACAACGAAACCATTGCCTTTCAGGAGGAAATTTGGGGACAATTTTAAAGGTAAGAAATTTGTGTAGGAAAACGTGATCCCAAAACCATCAGCAGGTTAGTGGGAGCATAGACATCGTACTCCTTTAACCATGGAAAGCGGCAGAGATTAAAAACAGGATACCAATGGGCTCTTCATTGGAGTTTGAATGGGAAAAGTTACCCCTCCACTACGCCCTTGGCTACCCCCTTTCCGTGCTTTGCTTATGCCTCGCTGCGCTGCCTTGCCTTGCTGTGCTTCGAGAAAAAAAAAACCTCCCCCACTTGCTCACTGCCTCACTAACACGCACGCGCACGTACTATGGGCTGAAATTGTTGTCGCTAGAGCAACGCAAAAGTACGGTTCTTCGCAGGCAGGCAGAATTTCGTAAACAAAAAACACACAAGGTTCGAGTGGGTATTTGGAAAGCAATTATTTTCGAAGAGAGCGCGTACCAGCCTCCCAACGCTCCCATTGGCCGGTCTCAAGGTCACTAGGTAACCATTGCTGCCACCAATGTTGTCTGCGCTTGTGCGCGAGTTGTTTCATGTACTTTTGAAAACACACGCGGACGGACGCACAGTGGCGTTTTTAATAGCCTTTCGTTTGGACGACTGCGTTGTTATTGTTATGCTCCTTCTAATATTCCTCCTCCTCGTCTAACGTTGTTTACGAAAACACAACTCCTAGTTTTCTGGCCTCCCCCTTCAAGCTCCTCTTGTTTTCGTTCTTGGGTTATTTATACATCTAGGGAAGTAGAACAGACTACTAGCCTTCGCTACTTGTCTGGTTTCAAAGCCGAGAATTTTATGCATTATTAATCGGTTCCCTATCATCAATTGCCCACTCAATTCCGCTCCACATGAGGTCAGGTTCAGTGACCTGATACACTGCGCTCCGATGCGCTATGTCGTGTGCTGAAAAGTTGTAGCGGCGAGGGTGGCACAGCAGCAGCCCAGCTTCCCAGGTCAACGTCAGTTCATCAAGGTCACTCTGCATGCGTGTTTGTATACACACAGATGTGTTTGTGTGAAAGGCCTTGGAGATTTACAGGAATCAAGAAGTATGTGGAAGTAATAGTGGTGCCAAAATCCGAATTACAAAGGGGCTAGTGATGCGATGTAATCTGTGGAGTAAATAGACACGACACAGAAAATCACTTCCAGGGAAATTTATTTGCATTTTTCGAGACGCCCGGAAATATTCCAACGTTTAGTAACCGGAATAATTTGAGAACGGAAAAAAGGTAGAAATACTTCATGGTCTAATTAAATTCATATCAAAAAAGAAAGTTGCTACTTATTTCAATCTTATAATCGTGACAAAAAAACAGGAGGAGAGGAAGTGAGTAGAATTAGACTGAAGCAAAAGGCAGGTTTTAATAGAATTTTCGATATCAAAAAGTCAATGTCGGATATTAGATTTCAAAAAATTGAGTGGAGAGGATGTTAGAAACTAACCAATTACGAATTTTGAAATGTTTATTCTATGGGCACAGTTATTCATAAACATTGACAAATTAGGCGAAATCCACTAATCAGGTTATTAGAGGCAAAAATATTTCGCAACAAACAACCTTTTTAAATACAGATTGCAAAAGGACGTACTTTTCACCCGAAACATCTGGGATTTCTGAACCATACTCAGTTAGACCGGCAAGCTCAGCAGAATACCTCCAAATTGTGCGTTTCTTTGGGTGTCGTAAACTCGAACTGGGATCCAAGATTTCAACAACAAGCGTGATGGGTGTGCTTGGAAACCTAAGACGACAACTAAAACAGGAGTTAACAGATGATACAAGTACTACCAGTTGGGTAGCGGAATGAGGTCTTCACTAAACATTTGAAATTCTTCATCAATAAAAATACCATTTTTGCCAAGAATACGAAGAAAAAGTGACCCATTGATTGTATGAAGCTCGAGATGTTTTCGGGAAATACAGACAGAATCACCAAGGCATATATCAGTGGGCAACTGACTTCTCCTACCAACGGTTATAACTTCTTTCTTTAAGCAATGCGTAAAATTCGGTCCTGTAACTCTAGTATACATTAGTCCAGTTATTTTTAAGCTACTAGGACCAAAAGTGGTCAATTAATCCGGCGCACGTTTACTAGACGATATTAGAAGCAGCGGATATGCCAGAAAAATGCATGTGTTCCGCTGTTAACATTAAGGTCAAATGCATTGTATTTCATAATACTAAACACATTTAGATTTTACGCAAGGGGTCCAAAAGAGTAAACTTGTTAATTTCAGTGCTCATTATTACAAGATAAGAATTTAAACTAACTTTTACGCGTACTTTGCTTAATGAGAATAGTTTAGTTTGTCTGAGTTTGGGTTATTGAGCATACTTTTATGACATATCAGCAAGGTTTAATTTTTACACTTAGCATGCACTGCTTTCGCATGCATTCGTGAGTTTTTAGCCTCTTAACTTTATAAATTACAAGGTTTTACCGACGCCTGCATTCTTTACAAAAGTCTGCAATGCATTAACGCGAATGGAATGGAACCGCATACCGCATGTACTAGTAGATTTCCAGCCCTCGTAATTTTGCTAAGTAGCGATGTGAAATAAGTGAATCCCGAGAAAGGCGTTTCTGAGTAAAGGCGTCACAAAAAACAGACCTCACCAATTCCCACCCCGCTCCGTTCCAATTGACCTTCGCACACCTTCCCGACTCTTGCTCAACACAGACACAAAGTAGAAGTACGACAAATTTATTACCCACACATTACCCAAATCACGCATATACAAACGACAGAGCTACGCACATCAAACATTGAAATCGATCCGCTTTGCCTCATATCCCGCGTTCCCCACTAGTGTTACCGTTTTGCCACCCTCTGCACCACCACTACCAGCTCCCACGCCCGCTCCACCCGGCGCCGCAGCATTCACCACGGTTGTGAAGGTGGTGCCGCCTGCCGTCGCTATGGTGACTCCAGAGGCGCGTTTAAGACCACTAGCCACAGAGGCACGTCTTTCCGCCGCCCCAATCATGGTGTTGAGTTCGATAAGGTCTTTGCTGCTCCCCTTACCTACGATGATGGAGATACGTTTAGGTGAGAGGGTCTGGCCCCCAACACCAATGCCAGTTTGAGAGGAAACCGCAGCAGCAGCTGGTGAGTGGTGAGTGAGACCGACCTGTCCTGGGGCGTGGAAGTGGTGTGCTTGTTGTGGAAGCTGCTGGGCTGAACCTATGAAGACGTTGCGAGTGGATGCCAGACGTCTAGAAGGGAAGGGGGGAAGAAACCATTTTAAGGGTCCTCCTGTCAATAGGTTTAGCCATTTAATAGTACATTCCTGCAACAATTCCATTCAAATGCAGCTCCTGTCTCCAAGTTTCTATCGATATAACCATTTTTTCATCCATCCAAAGTCGATTTATCTATTCATTCATTTAGGTATTCAACCCTTTTGCAAACTATTCATTTCTGAATTGAGTGCCTTGAGGCTTGCCAAAGCTTCCACATACTCAACTGGCTTTAGTAGTAATTACCTAGCCGGTAGAAAGCCATCGTTGGGGAGTGCAGAATAACCTCCATGCAGTGTCTGCAGAGCCGAGTGCGAATGCACAGTAGCAGCTGCAGAGGTAGTCGTGGCAGTAGTAGTGGTCGAAGTTGAATGCGGTGCCGGTAGTGGGGTGAGCGGAGGCTGCGTTTTCGACGCTGGATCAGAGCCCGCACCGGTGGTGCCAGCGGCGCCAGAGGTTGCAGAGGGCAATACGAAACGTTGTAAAAAGGCCTCCACGCGAGCGAGGAAGATGAGGTTGTAGAAGCGAGTCAGGTCGCCACGTTCTTCAATTGCCTCGGTGTCGGTGGCCGCGGAGCGACTAATCAATACACGTCGATAGGTGTCTCGGCTGGCCTGTGGTTGCATGCGGTAGGCCTGCATGAAGTGGGTAAGCAAATTAGTGATGCAAAAAAGGGGGAAAATAAAGCATTCAATTTCAACTATCGCCACCTACTTTTATGATCTCCACCAGACTCAGAGGTCTTGCATTACCTGGCACCCCACCACCACTGGCGGTTGCCTTGGCGACCCCATAGAGACAACACAGAATGATCTGATCCAACAGCCGGTCCCTCAACAACTCCGTCTCGTTCACTAGCACGTGCTCAAATGTCGTCCATGCTCGGGCTAGCAGAGGAGCCGTCGCTGTCCCCCCTGTTGCGGCTACTGCTCCCGCAGCTGGTGCCGCTGCACCTGACGACGACTGAATTCTCTCACAAATAGCTCGTAACCTCGATGCTGCCAGATGGTAGACATGACGGAAGAAGATGGCGACAGAGTCATGTCGTAAGGGTGGTGGTGGCGCCGTCGCCGTCGTTGTCGCCGACCAGAGTGATGTACCTCGGGGATCCACTTCAGCTTCAGTTGAGGCATCCATCCCCTCCTCTGCCCCAGATGCCGCCACTTCTGCTTCTGAGGCAGCGAGAAGGCTGGCAGCTGCACGGGCTGACTCATCCTGGTGCTGTTGCTGGAGTGTTGTGGAGACGGTGGGGGTGACAGCAGAAGCAGCCAAACGAATTTTCTTGGCTGGAGTGATGGAAGTGATTCCACCGGATTGGTTAGGCGCCGGTGTGGTAACTAGTAGCTCCCGCCGGGAGAAACGACCCACGATGCTCTGTAGAAACAGAATAGTTGGCAAACGCCATTTATGGTGCCGAAATTCCCTATCTGAGCCCAGGGTCATAAATATGTAACTTCGAGTTTAAAAGAGCAACACAACTGAAATAACCACAGATGGCTTTCCACCTGGATGTCGAAACAAAGTTAGCTTTGTAAATAAAAGGTGTTCAACCCCGTACTTGAATCGTCAAGGGCTACAAGGTCAATCGTCAAATTATCCAATTCCGCTTACTACGATCAAACGAGTAGACATTCGCTCACCTCATCCAACTTTTCCGGAGGAAATATCTCCTCCACCGAAGGTACAGTAGATGTACGAGAACCCGTCGCAGAACCACACTGAATGGTAGCCCAAATCGAGGAAGAGCTCCGCCATGCATACTCACCCAAAATCCCCTCCACCACGCAGTTTAAGTACTTCACCAACTCTCTCGGCAATTCCACATTCTTTACAAACACTTCCACCACCTTGTAAAAGGAGATGGCATCAAAGGTGAGAGCTTCCAGGATCCAGGGGAACCGCCGCCCCCCATCCTCCTCACAATTCACAAGAACAACTTCCAGACAGCAGGCGTAGAGAGCGCGATGGAACTCCTCGGAGCGAACAATTCCTCCTCCACCGCGTCGAGACTTCTCGTCAGCAAGAATTGACTCCAAACCGTAGTAGTAGAGTTGTTCAGCCAAGTGACAACGATGTCCGGCCGCATCGGTGGTGGCCGAATTTCCGCTAGCGACGTAGGCAGCGGTGAAGTCGTGAGAGAGACTCTGAAGACGTGTGCGGATGTTGGTCAGTGGCGTCTCGTTAGTGACGGTGGAGCGGATGAACTCGGCGAGAGTCTCGCTGGGATTCCGACTACGACCGGAGAGGAGAGCTTGAATGTGATGAAGGTTTTCACTGCGTGTCTCCGGGCTGTTTAAGCCCACGAAACCGCTCAGACTGCCCATCACGGGACCGTAAAGAGCGCTGTCGGGACGCGTGGAGCCCATGTAGAGGCCATTGCCAAGACCTTCATTTCCTGATGCTTCTTTGGGTTCTCGCTGCAAAAAAGAGCTCTTGCGAATAGTCATTCAACCATACAACTCTCTATTTGGAAGTGCACTACTTTATTGAGGTCTGTAGAGAGAATAAATCGCAAAAACGGTTTTGGGGCCCCACAATCCCCATAGTTTGAGTCCGAACAGGCTGCATGGGGGACCTGAGCTAAGACCGTTGATCGAGGGAGAAAGTGATAGAACACATCTGAAATAGACTTCGTAGCAGTAGTTCACCTGGTGAATGTCTGTAGTAAGGCTAGGCAGAAGCATCATACCATCCTCTTCCAACACTAAGTAGTCGCCTGCTTAAATGACTCACAGTCGTGCATTTGGCATTGCCCGAGGCACTGGGCCGAGCAGAGCCGATTTCTTCAGCAGCATTGGGACTAAGGAAGATGCGTTCATCAAAATCACCGGTGCCGAGGATGTACTCCTCATAGTGGTCATTGAGACGCTGCATGGCGTTCGCAAAGTTCTCTGGACGCAATAGGTCTGCTGGCCCCGGAGAATGAAGTTTTGACATATCCTTAATTGAAGAGAAGAAACAGGTAGATAGATCCAAAATAGATAGAACAGTACAGAATGGCTTGATAGCTAGTAGATGCATGGGTAGATTTCAGATGAATGGAAGAAATCTAACCGCCTACTTATCAAAAAGTTAATTACTAAGGTGCGATAAGTGAACGAACGTCACTCACTTTTTCGATGAGTCTCGAGACGTAAGGCCGAAAGAAGTGCTCCTTAATCGCCTTGCATTCCACAAAGTTTATCCCATTGTCCTCACAAATGTAACGCAACATGCAGGGCATAGCAATTGCGTCTGTTGCCACTGGAGCAGCAGCAGTAAGAGGACCTCCCGTCCTTCCACTGCTACAACGGTAGTTGCAATTTAAGAGACGTCTTCCACCTCCTACCAGCAGTACACCGAGCATCCAATCCAGACAGCAGGCGAGGATGTAAAAGGAGTTCACTAGATCATCTGCTACTGCTGGAAAGTTGGCCCGTGTCTTAACGAAGAGGAGCCAGATGAAGCGAAAGATGTCCACAGGAGTCACACTAGAAGGATCTTCAGGGAAAAAATTCTAGCAAGTCACCTCTTGAAGATGTAGGCAACCGAATCGGCAACTATTCAAAATAAAAGCTCAGTCGAATACCAGGTGATCAGTGAACCAGAAACCCAGTCAACTTATTTCCTGAGGTGCCACAAGATACACCAGTCGAAAGGTAACCAGAACAGGCCTCCATGCCATCAGCTTGAAGACTGACCTGAAGGAGACCGTAAAGAAGTGAAGATTATGTTCAAAAGAAGGAGCGTATGCGGTAATGACAATGTTTGCAACGCATGTTTTTCGATTGCCGCGATTTCGGTTTCCTGCTTGGAATCATGTCACCCTTTCCATGCCCTTAATGTCCCTGACCTGTACGCCAGTACTAAACCTTTCGCCTTACTGGTATGGATCGTTACGTCTTCAGGGATGGCCACAAGTGGCATTCAGGTGGCAGTAGCAAGCAAGGTCGAGATGGATCAACAAAAATCCTCATTTCGCTGGCCGGATACCAGGTCTAAACGACAAATACGGTGAATAGTGAGAGTGGTTATACCCGAGGAGACTGGTAAAGAAAGGGCTACCGAAGCCACGTTTACTTTTAGCAATCGCCCTAACCCCGTGTTCTGCAATGAAACAAGCAGCAACAGGAGCAACAATAGAACTGACCGATTTAAAAACCTCCATCACCGCACTGCCACGCTCAACGGACTACGTAAATAGATGACACCTCCTCGGCGTTACTATTGAATGAAATGAACCCACTTTGACACTGTAATATATTCAGTTAAATAGCTCTGCTTTGGGGAAAGCACGTAAATGAACAGCGATGATTAGATGAAATACACCCGTGACGGCGACAACCCCTCTTGAGCAAAATAAGGGTAGCGACTCTCATAAATAAAGCTGTTAAAAAAAGACATGATGCATTACCCACATCGAGACCAAATCTCTTCTTGCCTAAATGGGAAATAAACATATAATCTTCGTTCATAACTCGTGGGTAGATTTTAAGGTGCAGACCATGGCGCAAATTCTTCAGGTTCCTTCGTTGCTGCCACCGCCTATGTGACAAAGTTTTCTGTTCGTGTCTGCAGCGTCCCAACTCTTCCGCACATTTGTTTAAGAGTGGTATGCCTTATTATGTCCCGAGCTTGACTATGCACGTTAAAAGCAACTAAAAAAAAACACCGAAAATAACTCACCAACATCAGCATCGGCGTTCTCGTCTCCATCAAGATTGCTGCCATCCAAGGCGCAAAAGTACAAAGAAAATGCACGAGAAAAGTAGCGAAAAGCCACGGAGGAGACGGCGAATTGACGCTCTAGGCGTTCAATGCGATCATGCATATCATCAGACATCTCGGTCATGTCAGACCATTTGCGAATGCGGTGGAAAAATTGTACCAGACTCATCTTCGCCGTGGCAAGAAGACGAGTGAGGGAGACGTAGGCACTCTCCAGCACCACCTGACCGGAGGCGCTATCTGTAGTGGGCCGACGGCAGCACTCGTAGAGCGAGCAAACCAGCCATTGAAGTTGGTCACCCTCAATGGAATAGTTTGTCCAGACCTCTGTGCGAAGACAAGTGCACAAAAGGCGGCAAGGTGAAGTACACATTATTGCACCACTCCAAAATCTGGCCAAAACTAACTTAAAGGCTGTCCGTTTGGTACACAATGAACTCACCTCCCTAAATGCAAATGAAGTGCAAATACCCATCTATTCATCCGCTTCAAGTCTTACGGCTGCGTGAATTAGCAGCTGTACAAGTTGACAAGCATTAATATTCATTCGATTTGTCAACAAAATTGGGGCTCTTTAGGAACAAAACAATCAACTTTGGTTGGGTGGAGACATGTGAGTTGGACAGATGGGACACAGAATAAAAGGATGTATAGATAAAAGTGTGTCTGACAATAGAGGATACGAAACGAACAGACTTAAGGAGGGAACAATGGATTTAGGGCAGACAAGTGAACTACATGTTCGACCTACAACTTCTAGCATAACTACCCATTTAACTCTTCCCCTTCGGACGATGGCCCATTAACCATAAAATAACCCAGCTTCATTAGTAATGGCACCAATGAGACAAATAACATCCACCAAACATGAAATTTTAGAGTTAAATAAGCTACTCAATGTTGGGGAACAAACGGATTAAGATTCTCATCAGTATTTATCAAATATGAGTTCCACTTCGCGCGATTATAATGTAAAGGAGCAAACAGCAACCTAAAACATCTGCTAACAAAGTTAAAAAAGAATCTGAGACCAAGATGGTAGACAACATGGAGGGGAGTCGCATGAAGAAGCAGCAGGTGCATCTATCCATTTCCGAATATGTGAGAATTACTACAGTACTGGCTGTTATAACTTCGGATTACAAAAAAACGTCGAAGCGGCTGAGTCTAATCCAACACAAGATGCGACCAAATATAGGCGTTTAACCAGAATTTTATAAGCGAGATATCAACACATTAACTCCAAAATGTCCGAATTCTCAAAGCAGCACTGGGATGGAAGCATTACATTTTGGCTGTACCTAATTGTTTAGAGGCCTTTTGAAACATCACATTCCCTCCAGTGATAGGCTTAAACGCAATCGATCAATTTGAGAAATTTTTTTGGGATGTGCTTAACGATGCACCACGACTTCAAACCCATATTATAAAGCCACCCAGTAGTTTTTGAGAGGCAATGGATGGGTCACTTAAAGTTCAAGCTGGGCCCAGATTACATGTGGTTCAGTCAGCATATCCACCAGTCTCAATGCACCCACAAATTAGTAGCCACAGGAATACCTAATCACTTAAAAGACCTCAAGCGCACAAAGATACAGTTTAAGAAATTATTACTAGATAGCCGACATTCGGAAGGCTACCCAGCAGTGGAGCCTCTTAGACAACATGGTACAGATAAGCGATACTAAATGTCGGCTATGAGAAACACAGACACCATAGGCAGCGCATAAGGTTAGGTGCAATATTGGATGCTTTATCTTCCAACGACTATAAAGTGCAATACTTTGGCGGATGTATTTTGGTGCATTTAATATGCAAAAAAGACGAATAGCTGATAAGGCATGACTGCAGTGTTCAAAACAAAAGATAAACCAAGCTGACGGGCTTATAATCCCGTAAATCTGAAAAATCGTACATAAAAAGACATCTGAAAAACAAAGATATGCAGCATTTAAAGAGCAAATTGACATAAATCCCTGCAGTACAACCAAAAGCGAGAATCTTACTCACCTTTGTATTTGTCCCACGCCTCTTCACGGATGGCACCTTCTATGCATAGAATTTGACATAAATCCTCAAATCGCTTTTCGATAGGCTCGTCAACGTCGTACATATATAACGAGCACAAGAGCAAGTGAACAAAGAGCACACCAATACAATCGCCCGCGTAACCCACAGTTCGAAAACAAAATTTTAGACTTGTTTTACTGCATTGGCTATGTTGACCAAAATCCCCACGTAATTAGAGGAAAATAATTATGTAACAAACTTTTATTAGGCGTCTTAAGGATTACAAAAGTTCATCAATGGCTAGGCTAAATAGGAAATTACATTGAACAACACTGCTTATTAAACAAAACGGTGATTCGCACCGGCAGAAAAAGGCAATTTTTCGCTACTGTTGCTTTATTCAGATGACTTAAACAACCATAAAACCTCTTTTTCCTGATTTTCGCACCCCTCTAAGATATACAGAAATGATCTATTGTGACATGTTAAAATCTTGTAATTCGACGAGTCAGCATTATACTAAATGTGGATAACAGGCAGGTATATGAAGATCTTATCAAATCTCTTGTGTTTTTACTGAGTACTTTTCCCACAATTTCTTCATAAACCGTGAACTCACTTGCTCTTTTTCCGGGCTAAATTTTGGTTCCCAGGCCCCTCCCTGAAGTCAGAAGAGGCCATATTTGTGCGACAGAAAATATATTATCGGTGTGAAGAAGGACTGTGGTCTGCTACCATTTATGTAGTCCGTGGCGCCGAGCGGTTGTACTCATCACGGGGACGTAAATGCTCGCCTAATCAGACGCAGAGTTTAGACGGACTATCAAACTATTGCAGAATATCCGTTTGTAATTTGTGCTTCTACCAAATGCCTCATAGGCGAAACTTTCAACCTACTCGCTTACCTGATGATTGTCAGAAGTTCTTTTATCCCCAGCCCATGTGATATGATTGTGCAAGCTTTACTGTTTTTGCCGTGCTTATTATCGACATAAACTGTGTTTCTCAATCGGGTTCTATCTGCTTGGTAGATCTCAGTCCCATTTGCGGCCTGGCCTTTAAAGGGTTGACAAATCGTTGCAGTTAACAACGCCGTCTGAGGCACAAAAACGCACAAATGTGACTTAGTCTTTAGGGAACGAGATGAGGTGGTGAGTGCTTTGGAAGTGCGGAGCGGTTAGTGGGGCCCTTGATCAATCGGAAATAACCAGTATCACGTGGGCTTGTTTGGCAAAAGCCAATTCAATTTTCAAATCAGTCAGCCAGTAACCTGAAAAGGATGCATTTTAGGTCCCGAAATTGGAAGAAGGGGAGGCCAAACTGATGGCTGTTTATACTATCTTTCTCCTCTGGTAATACGCATTATCTCAATTAGCCTACCTCCCATTTAATGAGGCCGTGAATAAGTTGTTGCATACACACTCGCATTTCTATGTTATTTCGAAGGTGTAAGGGCACAGGCGAAAAGTTAGCCTGACCAGTTCACATCTGTGCTCCATTCTGGGAGCACCACAGTCAGCTAAACCGGACAAGGCACGAATGCCCTTCGTTCACCTGACAAGTGACAAGGTACGTCAGGTAGGTCAAATCACGATCTCTTATCCAGAGTAAAGATACTTCTTGGCTTCAAAAAAACACCTCATTTTGTGGATTGAAGAGATGCATCTCTTTGCATCATAACCGAGAGTGAATGGGCACCGACCCAGAGGCAGAAATGAAATGCAATTTCAGGGAGAGTGATGTAAAATATCAAACTGGTTCGGTACTGCACCCCTGCCATTAACCCTGATTACCGGAATCACCAAGGTATAGACACCGCCAAACGCGGTCCCTCCGAGTGCTCTCTCTCATACAACTTGCACTTCGCAATTTGGTCGCGTCAAAGCAAGGCCTGCGTTATGGCTGTCCGTCTATATATATCTGCCCGTCGTGCCGTGTTGTCCGTTTCAAGCGCCAACTCCAATGCCTCATTTCACCCTGACGAATCATTTATTCTTCCTTATTTACACGAAGTATTATTTAAAGTGGTGGCAGGAAGCAAACATTCGTCGATCCTACCATCGAACGAAATGGAGCAACGGTGGGCTTCCAGCATAGCTAATGTTGGAACCGTAGGATCCTATTCAAGTGGGGATGAGAACGTGCGGACGTTTCAGAGAAGATAACGAAGATGGACATCGTGCCCGCCATCACAGTGGAGGCGACTGGCAGCACGCAGACTCAATCCTCCACAAGAGACGCCTTTCTTTTCTGACGTTACCGCTTTGTATCCAATCGGTAAAATGGAGAGTGGACTCCTTCACTCAGTTCACCAAAAAATGCACCAAGTTTAACCTCGCATATTCCCGAAGATGTGGTATGACCTAAGAACCAGGAAGCAGCTTTATTGTAGGCATGCAGAAGGATCGAGAGGATGGCAGCGGAGCTGCATACCCTGTCACACATCTCCCGTCATTTGGAATTATGTATTCGAGAGAATCCAAATCTACAGTGAACCAGAATTCACGTCCACGTGATGCATTTTTATCATAGCATGGATTGCGAGCTGTTGGACTTCCTTTCTTCCCGTCTTTCCAACAGTGATTCACGTTCAAAGTACCTCCAGGCAAGAGCGTCGCCCTCGTCGGTCAGTCTGGCTGCGGGAAATCTACCCTCCTCCAACTTGTCCAACGCTTCTACGATCCCTCTAACACCGACATCACTGAAGGCATCATTCTTGATGGCGTTAACGCCCGCACTCTCGCACCCAATTGGATCCGTCGGCAAATCGGAGTGGTTTCGCAAGAGCCCAACCTCCTCGATCTCACCATTCGTGAGAACATCGCCTATGGTCTAAACTACCGTTTTGAGAACCCTGAAGACACCACTGCTGGCGTGCCCATGGAGGCAGTCATGGAGGCGGCTAAACAAGCCAACGCTCACGACTTTGTCTGCAACCTGCCAGAGCAGTACGAGACACGGGTGGGGCCACGAGGATCGAGGCTGTCGGGAGGACAGAAACAGAGGATAGCGATTGCCAGAGCATTGGTTCGGGATCCACAACTGTTGGTGCTGGACGAGGCGACGGCGGCGTTGGACAATGAGAGTGAGAGAGTGGTGCAGGCAGCCTTGGATGAGGCGATGAGGCGGGGTGGACGCACGTGTCTGGTGGTGGCACATCGACTGAGCACAGTTGAAGCCTGTGATGTGGTGGTGGTGTTGGAGCGAGGGAGGGTAGTGGAGTGGGGCACACCAAATGCCCTGTTGGAGGCGAAGGGAGCGTACTATGCTCTCTACGATGCGACATAAATGAACTTATTTTGGTTGAGACGCTGCTTATTGATTTAATGGCACAAACTGTCGTTCTACAAATTAAAACAACATGGTTTGTATAATTTTCAAATCCTTCTTTTGTAATGGTTGGATAAGGGTACAAAACGCCAAGCAGAATGCCAAAGTTGGACTTACCAACCGCACTCAACCCATCACCGTTTATCACAACGAAATGCGTCTGCAACTTTGACTGGATGCGATGAAGTCTGCGTACTGATGGATGAAGGAAGACCACCGGCGTATGTAGAGACCACCCATTAGGGGTCAATGAAGGCAAGGAGAAGTGTATTCTAAACAAGCATAACCCCGACCATTGCATCCAGTTTGTAATACTACCGAGAAAGAAGGCCTTCATCAAATCACTCTACTCGTTCAAAAGGGAATGAAATTCGAGGCGGAAGAAATAAATTCCAAATCTCTTACAATGGAAGCCTGTATGTCATTGTTTTTAGAAAAAAATTGGAAGGTAAAAGTGCAAAACCCGACTTAAGCTGAGAAAAGACTGATAGGCGATAGACGATAAGAAGGTAAGTACGGACTCCAACACCAGCAATCGCGGATCTCAAACCATCGCTCTGGCATCCACAACCCCTTGTTTCTGGTCTCCTGATAGCCTGGATCCTCGCGGTGCCACCCATGTCTTGTAATGCTCTGGCAGGTTGCTGATAAAGTAGTGGGAGTTGGCTTGTTTAGCCGCCTCGATGGCTGCCTCCATGGGCACGCCAGAGGTGGTCTTCAAAGTTCCCTCAAGTGGTGAGATCGAGGAGATTAAACTGTTGCAAGACCACATCGAAGTTGAGAAGTTCACTGACGCTAAGGCAGAACTGGAAAATGAATCCCGTTGATTTAAACTACATTCCGAAATCCATGTCGTTCTTGAAAAGAAGTCTGCCAGCCTGCTGCTAGTGAGATAAACTTGGTGCTTTACTCTTACACCTCACCATTCATTACCCTTAGACCGAGCAGACGAGTGGAAAGAGGACGGGGTTTACTGGGTAGCGAGAAAAGAGGGGTACAGGTATCTCGATTAAGCGTTTTCGGAAACTACTCCCCAGAGATCGATGGCGTCCTGCCCTCCACGAGGTTCGAATCTACTGGCCGCCTCTCGCCAAAAAATACATTCAAACAAACATGGATAAAACTATCATGGGCTTCTTCAATTTTTTTTATTTAAGCCTCAAAGATTGCTGTTTGTTACCTAGTCAAGGTGGTTATGGAAAAGCATGCCCACAATCGACCAAGAACTCGTCGGAACCTGCATCCAGCATTTAAATAGAAGACCACCAGTCTGCGACAAGCACGTTTTGAGCAGGCGGAAATATGTCAAACTTCTGTTGACATGCTCAAATGTGACCATTCCAGACTGAATAGTTTAACTTCACATTCCCTTCATCCTTTTTGGATTTTGGGTCGAGTGAACCACACTTGTCTTGTTCCACCCTCTAACTCTACCAATAACC